TGCTGGCTCTGTGTCCTTCTACAGAGTCTCCTCTGACACTCTGATCCATCTCTACACCTTCTACAGCAGATTCACTGAACCTCTCTACCCTGGCTTTGGCTTGGACTCTTCAGGTTACTCTCCAGCCTCAGTGTCTTTGTGTCCACTGATGAGTGAACAAAGTCAGACAGAAGTTTAGTCTCTGCTCTGTTGAGATGTGATCCCACGACAGTGGAGCTGCATTAGGAGTGAACAGAGGAAACCACAAAGCCGTTATTAATGACAGAAAACTACAGTGAACGACGAGTGTGCCTCATTTTCTGTGAAAGCTTTGTGTAGAAAGCTGAACGCAGTCAGTGATGAAACTGAATCGGTGAAGATTCTTCCCCAGTCAAAGTCTTACAGTTACTTAAAAGTTCAAGTTTTAGGATGTTTCTATAGTACAAGAGACAAGAACCTGCCATACTAAGGTTTTCTTTCCTTTCTTTTCCTTTAATCATAATAATAATCCTACAAAGAATCAACTTGTAACCATAGCAACGGGGCTGGACATCCACTGCATGAGTCTTATATGAAGTCTTTAAAACTTTCAATGAATTCTTCCACTTTTTAAACCTTAGGTAGATACATAGGTGCAGGTGCTTTTGGCTAAGACTACTTCAGTACTCGTGCTGGAGTTTTTACGTGATATTATTTGTACAAGTTGAAGATCTTCTACCAGTTTGGACTGGTTCCCCCTTTGAGCCCATGAAGGTCAGCAGGTACAGAGAATGGATGGATTCCATGAGTGTGTGGTGGAAACATTTGTGATCAGGCATATTTAGTATTTCCTGATAGCATTTGAACACACCGCCAGAGAGTTATGTGGACTCCTCTCATGGCCCCGCCCCCTATTGAAGGTATTTAAAGCACCTGTGGCATCACGGCTCCTCTGTGACTGGATTGTTTAACGGTTTTTGCCTGTTTTAGAGAGATTGTTCTGGCGTATTTTGGCCAGCATTATTAAAAAAAACAAACCCATTATTAATGTGTTTTTGTTGTATTGTCGGTTTTAATCGGCTGCTGTTTTGCTTGTGTTTGCTCCAGCTTGGCCTTAGCTTTGATGTGTTCCATAGTTTACTTTGGGCCGACTGTTGGTTGCCGACTGGTGGTGGAAGTTCGTCACTCCAGAGTGGGTTTTTCCTTCACAGGCTGCAGTGGTACGAGCACTGGGCCACCTTATCTCACACCAGTTTGTTGTGGCTGTGAGCTCACCAGTGGTTGGTGATTTGTGTCTTTCTTGAAACACTTCCTGGCCACCTCCCCCCTGCTGGCTTCCATCCACTCTCCTCTCCCTGTGCTGACTTACTGTGCTGGAAGGGTTTCCTTTTAAAAGAATTTTACTATTAAATAAAGTTGAATTATTGTAACAAGTCTTTTTGTGCGTTTTCATTGGTTCTGTTTGTTTTCGGCTACTCTCTCTGCAGGCACTTCCAGACATCCAACATTCAACCAGTTATTCAATCAGTTATCTAATAAATGTAGTTTCTTGGTTAGCACCGTCGCCTCAGTGAGGACAGTCGGGATCTTTCTGCGTGGAGTTGTTCTCCCCGTGCAGCGTGGGTTCTCTCTGGGTTCTCCGGCTTCCTCCCACAAAAACATGTTGAGGTTAATTGGTGATTCTAAATTGTCCGTAGGTGTGAATGTGAGTGTGCTTGGTTGTCTGTCTCTAAGTGTAGCCCTGTGATAGACTGGTTACCTGTCCAGGTGAACCTGCCTTCACCCTGAGTCAGCTGGGATAGACTCCAGCCCCCCACGACCCTAGTGAGGATTAAGCGGTGTATAGATAATGGATGGATTAATAAATAAAGTGCTCTCAGTCACATTACAATGCAGCAGTAGCTCATCATAGCAGTCTCCAACAAACCCGACATGTACAGCTGCAGTCAAAACTCATGTAAGGACAAAACTGTGATGCCTGGTTCTGCATTTCTGAAAATCATTGACATTTAGAGCTTTTGTTTTGTGGGTTAGCTGGCAGGCAGGAGGAAAATGAATATGTTTTCACATAAAGTTGTGGTCAAGAATTTCACATTTTTGTTTGCATAAATGTCTGTGAAGATTCTCAGTCATCCAGGTCGTGGTTGTTCTGGTAGATTAATGGTAGCAACTGGACTTGCTTGAGTTCCTTGAAGACGTTTCATCCAAAAGGAGTCATGAACAGTTGAGTTTCTGTTTCAATTGTGGTTTTTTTTGTTGTTGTTTTTTTGCTCCTCCCCCTCTTTATATGGGTCGAGGTGTTAATGGCTCCTTTAGGATATCAGTATCTGGAACTCCCAGCTAGTCAGTCAGAACTGATGAAGCCTCTTGGATGAAACGTCTTCAAGGAGCTCAAGGAAGTCCAGTTGCTACCATTAATCTACCAGAATATTCGTATAAAACAGTTGCAATCTGAATTTATATATAAAAAATCTACAATGCACATCTGTACCGACATATTTTAAAGGCAGCTTTTCCTGTAGAATCCATGCATTCCTCTGGATTTCTTTTTTGCACATGCACACACATAACAGTTATATCTGTGAGCAGTTTTCATTCAGATGGTCTCATGCAACCATAAATACCCAGACTGAGCTGGAGGGTGTAATAATATCCTTGTGGTTTAGAGACGACCAAAACGCAGAATCTCCCTTTCTATTTCCGTCCCTGGCATCCCCTGGCTCACTGACACACTTCTTAATTGTTGCAGTAGCTCTGTTGATGACTCAAATCTGTCTGTTCGTCAGTCTGGTCATGTCTTAATCTGTCCATCTTCAGTCTGTATCTGTTGCAAATCCACTGCAGCCAAAACCAAAACGCCTAAAAATGAACTGACTCGACGCCTCCGTGACTCAGCAGGAACTGAACGCACCTCGCAAGTTCGTTAATCGTGACGCGCTAAAGCATCAACAACAATAAACACAATTTGAGATGAACTGATGTCATTTGTTTTTCTCAGCCGTCTGTTACGAGCGGAGGTGGGAAATTCCACAACGAGGCAGCTATTTTCAACCAGTCGCATGGGAGCGAGTTCGCCGCTTGAGCCAATGATGTGGAGGCAGTTTGATGGCCGGGAGACCACGAATAGATATGACACGGGCTCCTTGTAATGTTCGCATCCAGCCTCACACACACACACAAGCAGACCGACTGTGGGGGAAATGTTAGAGCTCTGAGCTCATCCGTCAGAGAAGCAGCCATGAAGCCTTGAAACCTGAGACAAGACCGGCTTTGTTTGCACTGCTGGTCTGAAGCTCGGACCAGCTGCTGAAGTCAATTCTTGGCTCTCCGTTTGTGGCTGATCAAGGAAAATATTCAGAGCATATAGCAGTGAAACAATGTCTGTGTGACGTGATATCAACTGATCACCGATGGCTCCTTTGTTTCTTGATTATTCTTCATTAAAGTTTCAATGAATGATAGAGACTAAAAAGTAGTAAGAAAAACAATAAAAAACTAAACTACAGTTTGGCAAGTACCTTTATCTGCTTTCTTGTAAGAGCTCAAATGCAAAAGAACCACTTTGTTCAGTAAATATGAAGCGACGCCACCCAGCAGCTGTCCAGCTTAGTTTAGCACAAAGTCAAGATAAGAGAAACTGTACTGATCCCTAATGTACATGTTACAGCAGCTAAATACAGACGAGGCATTCAAGAAGCAGGACGATAATTACAAAAGTAAAATAAAGCTAAAAGTAAAGATATAATAAAGACAGTGGTATTTACGTACGGATATTTACAGACTGCATAAGTAAACACGAGCAAAGGACAACAATAAATATGTTGTATACCTTGTTTAGAGCTGCCAGCAACGATTGTTTTTCTATAAATTCATCTATTAACTGTTTTACTGGTCAGTCGACAACCAACCACACTCACATTCACACCACAGACTGTATAAAAGATGGACGTAGCAACCGGCCCTGACAAATGAAGCCAACCCGGAAGTGTCAAAAACCTGCAGTATCACTACGTCCGCTAGCTGCTGGCTCCAAAAAGCCCTGGCTCCCATAGACCAGATCACGAAATACTGCATTCCTACAGCTCAGGATTGTTTTCTTATTAGTTTTCATGGTCAAATCCAGAGATCAGGTGGCCAATCTGAAAATAAATCAATACTGACTTTTTTAAAAATCGTCAACATTTTGCGGGACAAGGGGCGTGGCTGGTTGATTGACAGTCGGCAGCGACGATGCAGACGAAGCGAGCAGAAGGCGGTAAATGTGGGCGGGGCAGAGAGGGCCCGCCTCTCAATCCGTCTGACCAATCGCTGCTCCTATGGCTCCGCCCCCCTCCGACGACTTTTGCATCGCTTGCTCCAAAAATCCAAGATGTCAACCAGGAAGTAGCAAAACCCTGGCTTCATTTTCTCACAGTAGCTACGTCCATCTTTTATACAGTCTATGATTCACACCTACGGACAATTTAGAATCACCAATTAACCTCACCGTGTTTTTGGAAGCCAGAGAACCCGGAGAGAACCCACGCTGCACGGGAAGAACATGCAAACTCCACACAGAAAGATCCCGGGTGTCCTCACCAGGACACGAACCGGCGACCTTCTTGCTGCGAGGCAACGATGCTAACCACTTATCCACCTTGTAGCCCGTCAGTCGATTCATCTACATGATTCATTTTCCTTCAAAAACGCAAAATGACCATTTCATTTAAGTTCAATTAATTTTGAAAAAGCAGGATGAGATTGTATAACGAAGCACAGCACAGAATGAAAACAGAAGCTTACATATGAATGTGTGAATCTGTGGGTTAAACGCTCACATGACTTTAAAATCTCTTTCTTTACTGCATAAAAATCCAAATACAGAGCGAACATGATTTGTTTTTTGTTTTTTTTCTTATGAGCACAGACCAGCTAACTCCTGTTTCTTCAGGATTTGGTTGCAGCTTTGGATATTGTTTTATTTTTTAAATGAACAAATTGGCAAATTCTTAGCCATCTTTAACTGGTGTGTCTGATGAATTGGTCAGATGACGTCTCATTGATAAAATATGAATCATGGAAGTGCAGAGCAGGAGCTTGGAAGTGACTGCTGTAATGTTTTTATTTATTTTTTAAATGCTTCATGGTATTATAATTGTCATAGTTAGTTTTGCCTGCTTGTAGTCCCGGTTGTGCTGTTTCCACAGAGGTGCTGGGCTTTATATTGCAGTGGAAAATGAACCCACAGTGAGTAAAAATGTGACAGGAGCAACAATAACAGAACATGTGCTCAGGGTTCAGAGGGTTTAGGTTCATCCAGCGTTTCTATAATTGTTCATTAAAGCACCAAAAACACACAGGATTTGTATTTCGTTGTCATACTGGAAGTTCTTCAAGAAGCTCAAAGACCTCTGGGACGACTTGAAGATGAACTTATCATCAAAAATACCTTTTTGGCAACAAAAATTAAAGGTGGTCGTCCTCCCATTAGAACCATTAAGTCCTCCCACTGTGTTGTTCTGACCTGTTCAAAACTTTACATAAAATAGTCAAGTTAAAATAGTTAGAAGGTAGAAGTCAAGTTTATTTATAAAATCTGAAATCTTAACGAGAACGTGGAGGGTTTTTTTTTTTGGACCCGTCATTGCATCTTATATTAGAACCGAAAACTCTGATTTGCAGCCGCAGTGTGAACACGGCCACAAACACAAACAGGATGTGACCGTGAGCTGTCTTTAGCTTTTTGATGAGTGGCAGGGGCATTCCTGACCTCGCCGGCACATGTGAACAAACAGCAGTGAGCTCATGGGGTTTAAATAGCCTGATGGGAGGGCTGCGGCGGAGCAGCTGGAGTATAAGAAGGACCGGTGTGCAAGGGGAGACCCACAACGCTGAAGGAACCCAGGGAGCTTCTAACTGGACGCACGGGAGCCGCAATCAAGAAATCCCCAAAGCAGGCCTTTTTTTTTATCCGGCGCCGACATGATGTCCCAGCACGCGGCTTTGACCAGCCTGTTCGGCGACGACCCTTTCTTCAGCCAGGAGCAGCTGCTGTGGCCGCTGCGTCGCGAGGCTCTTTCCTCTCTGCAGCAGGACTTCTTCAACCGGAGAGCCACGCTGGCCGACAGCCTCCTGAGGGAGCTGCACGACGGGCCACAGCTGCTCAAGCTTCGACAGCTGCCGCTCATTTCCTCCACGCTGGCGAGGTAAAGAACCGAGCGTCTCGGGAGTAAACACACCTGATCCGGTGTGACTTGGTTTGATTGACTCGGATTCACGTGACTGCTTCTCTTTCAGGCTGACTGACGATGAGGAGCAGCAGAGGGAGGTTTGCAGCACGGAGTCGCACAAGGACGCCCAGCAAGCCAACAGCGACCTCCTGGTGACCCTGGACGCCCGCGGTTACGCCCCCAATGACATCACCGTGAAGCTGGAGGGGCGGAAGCTGGCGGTGGTGGCCATGAAGCAGGCCGGGGCAGAGGAGAGCCAGTCGTGCTCCTCGGCAACCTCCAGCGCCTCCTTCTGCTCCTCGGCGTCCTCCCAGATGGGCTTCGTCCAGAAGATCGACCTGCCCGCTCACCTGGATCTGTCCGGCCTCTCCTGTTCCCTCATGGACGACGGACAGCTCCGTATTCACGCCCCCGTGGCCCAGCAGCAGCCAATCGACGAGGAGCGCCAGGTGCCCGTCCGGTTCAGGACGTCGTTGGAGTTTCCCATCAAAAAGGATGGAGCAGAGAAGGAGCACACAGACTGAAGCAGATTGACGCGACATGTTTTTATGCACACACTCCCACCGAGAGACAATGTGACGAGTAAAGTTTACAGCTATTGAATGAAGAGAGTATTTATTTTATAATTATATGCAATTTGTATAAACTGTGAAAATAAAAATAAAAAGGCTGAATGGAAAATGATTTCAGACTTTTGTCACCACACGATGGTGCCAGCAGCCAACACATATGGAGGGAGGAGACAGAAGAGTTGCAGCATTTCCTCCAGCTCCCCTCTGGTGACTGAGTTGGTAACCTCTGAAAGGTTCCAGTGACGTTTGGTTTCCTGGGGGGGGAAGTTATTTGCTGGCGCGCCGGCTCAGGTGACGACAAAAAAGCAGCAGTTTAATGTCTTTTAAGTCTTACCTTGAGGGCGTCATGACAGAGAGCAGGAGAAATAAAGCCGTCAGGGGGAAATGAGAGCGAACAAATGACCTCTTTTTAAAGGGTTAGTTCACCAAGAATTCAAACCTCTAGTGTGTCGTGGGTATTTAGCCGTGCAAGTAGTTGTTGGTTATATTTTTGGGGAAGATGCTGAAAGACGGAGGCATGAAGGTGGATGGAACTGAGTTGCAGAACATATAAAGTGAATTAAAGATGTTCAATCGCAGCATCTTCTTTAAGAAGTGCCACTAATCCAACAAGTCAGGCTTAAGTAATCTCATGTCTTCAGTTTGATGTGGTCTGTTTGGAAACTGCAACACTTGACTAAGAAAAACGAAATGATGGTTTATTCAGTGACTTGTTAGTATTAATAAATGAAGCATTTCTAGCACACAAGAACCCAATAAGACATGCAGAACTTTGTCGTCAACTAATCCTCTTGATTTATTTAAATTTAGAATGTTTTCAGAAAGTGTTCTCTACTTTTTGTACATTTTATGTGTCGTAAATTCATTTTAAATGAAAGTTCAATTACAAATTATCACCGGAAAACACTAAAATCTCTCATTTACAAAGTATATTCCACATCTGGTCAGTTTAATTATCCTTGCTTTGTCTAGAACGTCACTGGAGTCCACCTGTGACGGATGATTTGGACACCTGTTTTATATATAGAGTGCATCTCAGGACAAAAATCAAGCCACGAAATCCGAGGAAATCCCAGTAGACCTCTGCGATAAAATTGCAGTGAGAACAAGGGTATAAAACCATTTGTAAAGCCGTGTGTTCCCAGGAGCACATGTGGCCTCAATCATTGTGAAATGGAAGAAGTCTGAAGCCACCGAGACGCTTCCTGGAGCCGGCTGACCAAACGAGAAGGGCCTCAGTCAGGGAGGAGACCAGGAATCCAACGGACACTCGAACAGAGATTCAGAAGTCGTCTGCAGAGGTGAAGAACAAAAGACAACCAACACAAACTCTTTTTGCTCGTGTCGCATTTTTCCTCACTGTAGCTTTTCTCTGCAGTATAAAGTCCTGCACCTCTATGGAAACAGCACGACCGTGTCTAGAAGCAGAAAGAACTCAGAAACGTCTATTGCGTAGTATAACACAGACTATTTGAGTTAGATTGTTGTTTTCAATAAATTGCCTGCTCACACCTTTTGGTCTCTTGCTCCCATTTCTTCTTTTTGCATTTTGAAGCAAATTCATGCAATTTTTTTAAACTGGTCTTAAGATTTTGATCAGGAATGTATATAACATATATACAAAATATAGTATAATATATAATAATTAAAACATATTTATAATATAATATATATAGCACAGTATAGTATAAATAATAAAAATATGGTGATAAATAGTACAGACAAAAGGTCAGTTTTGTTGATTTAAAATTAAACCGACAACCCAAAATTGTGAGCAAAAAGTCGGGTCTGAATTCTTTCTGAAGCACTTTTTTTTTTTTTAAATTTGAGGTTTTTGATTATGACTTCAAGATGACCTCAATAGCAGAAATAAAGTAGAATTGTCACCTATCTCTAATAAAAAAATGAATGACCTTCATAAAAGTAGATTTAATGGCAGAGCTGCTGTGTTGGACTGTAAAAGTAACTCATGGTTGGCTGGTCATTTCATAGTTCTCCCCAGTGGGGCCATGACTGAGTGTAATGTGGAGTTTTGTTTAATCAGTGAACGCTTTCGTTTTAGTTCCTGTAGTTGACAGTTGCAGAAGGGAAGACGTAAGCGCTGAGCTGCATCTTCTCATTGAGCTCAAAGTTTCTTTTCTCTGCAGAAGTCTGCTGTCGTCTCGTTCGATGTGCACAGGATCACAACACTCTCCACTGGTTTACAGGTCTGGACTCAGAGAAAACAACACGTGACGCTCCATGCATGTCGAGCATCGTGTCTATGATTTTAAATCCCTTCAGCTTCTACGCTATCACGACAACGATCTCGTTCATGGTCACCGTTTCTGCCTCCCATCAAATTTTTCGTAATTGTGCTCCCAGAATAAGATGTCTTCGCGGTCACCACAGGGGTTTGTTGTGTGTGGGCGTATGTGATTGTGACTGTGCATGTGTTTGCGTTACGTGTGCATGAGTATGTTCGCATGTGCGTAAGTTCTTGCACTTCTAAAAGCAGCAAATCTGCACACGCATGTACTGTGACATCCAGAGCGAAGGGTGTTGACTGCCAGCAGAGCAATACAGATGTGTGTGTGTGTGTGTGTGTGTGAGAAACTTGGAGATGAATCCTATGACATAGCCACACACACACACACACTGTTCTGGGAAATGACTGCACTCTTTCCCTGCCGACAGTCATGAGGTCATAATGAAGATGGATTCTGCGGCGCAGCGAGGTGGCAAACTTTGTTTCTTCAGGAGAGAGACGTCCTCAGAGGAGGACGCTGCTGACGCCGCTTCAGCCTGAACATACAAAAGTCTCATCTCAATAATCTGATTTGTGCATGTGTGTGTGCGCTTCCAGTCCTTCGGTTTTGATTTCATGTTCAAATCCCCTCTCGGAAGTGACGGAACAGGCTTGTTTGATGTTAACGGCAGCATTTAATTTTGTTGTAATTTTGGGCCTGATTTAAGGATGTTTCCATAAAATTCTCTTACGGTTTGTTTGAATGAGTCACCAAAACATTTCAGCTTGTCAGAAGCTGCTGTTTTCAACCTCAAATCAGATAAAGGCCACCTGGGCGAGAGTATGGCTGCAATGATCGCTCAAATAGCTGGAGCCTCCAGAGGCTGCCGGCTCCGGTTCATGCACAAAAATGCCACCTGAGTATAAAAAGAAGAATTTGAACTGTTGAAAATAGACATGACTAAAACAAAAAACACGTCTAATTTAGCGGCGCTGCAGTTGTGGCTACATTAGAAGGGATCCAACGCCCTCTCCTGGAGAATATAGAACATGTGCAACAGACCAGAACCAAACCACAATGCTAAAAAAAATAAATAAAATTAAATCACATGCATGTGCCATGAATTTGTTCTGCTTTTTTTTTTTTTTCCATTTTTGTTTCAGTGTCATTAGTTTGTTTGTCATCAAGATTATATAAAAGACCACTTGCATGAAAGCGAATGGAGACATGGATTTCTTTATGAGGACTCATTGTGTTTGGTGTTTGTGCCGTCGTATGGGGTGGACTTGTGGCAATTGTGTGGGAAGTTGGCCTCTGAAGTCCCAGCTGAAGACGGTGCTCCAGAACCACACCTGCCAGACATCAGCAGTGATTGCCCTGAAGCTCCAATCCTGCTCTTAGCCTTTGTTCTCCCCGCCTCCGGTCACATCTGATTGGACATCCACACCTGGCTATAAAATCAACCAGCATCCTCTCAGTCGAGGCTGGCTGGGATTTAGTGTGAACAGTCCGCCCTGGTGTCTCCGTCTGTTGTGTTTGTTGTTGAAATGTGACTTCTTTGGCTGCTGCTAACTCGTTGTGGGACTTCAGAAGAGTCTTGGTGAAGACAATGACTCCCAACTTTTTGAAGAAGTTACTCGTGTCTTGTGCTTTTTTTGTACTGTGTGCTTTGAGGTACTAGTTTGTTTTAGTTTCTTCTGTCATGTGTGGATGTTGCTATCAGGTTTAAGTTTGGCTAAGGAGTTTAGTTTCGTTTTCTGCTAGCTAGCTTTCGACACTCTGTTAGCCTTTGTTTGGTTTTGTTGGTTCATTGATTTCAAGCAGCATCCACCAGCTTCCTTTGTATTGTCACAGTTCTGTTATGTTCATTTACTAAGCAATAAATTGCTTTACCCCAACCAACTACAACTGGTTTTTGTGACATCCTGCTGACCCTAGATGGGTCGTAACAGGATTTAAATCACTTTTACAATGGTGAGTGCTGGTCCTGGTGGTGGACTACATTCTCCTTGTTTTTTTGTAGAAGTTTTGTTTCTAAAGTTCCAAGACAATCAGGATCTTTGTTCAAGTCTATTGTGCTAGAGTGCATCACCAAACAAATGGTTCCATCGTGCTGCCTCAATGTGACTGACAGCTTGAACATATCTACTATCAGGAAAATGGAAAGTGGATTTTCAGCATAGCAAAAAAATTGGAATATTTGGGCTCCAGGGGGAAAGTCGAAGCCCAAAGGCATTGGAGTGTCATTTTAAGTCAAGGACAGGCGGCTTTAGGGACCTGTTCGTAGTCTCTCTGGTGTAGCTCTTGAGACACTGTAGTCATTCTGAGCGTCATCAAAAGCCGGCCTTCATAGGGGGGACGTCATTATTAAAAGATGAAGAAAATGGAACACATTTTTAGAAAATCTCTCTGTGGGAGATGTTGATAATGTCGCGTTTATTTGGTACTGATGAAATGTGCCACAAATAGAGATCCACAATGAGAAGGACAATGCTTGGCTCGTCGCAGCTCCACACAGCTGCCAGTCATGGTGCGAAGTGGGTGGGAATGTTGGATCGCTGATAATGGGTGACATGGACGCCCACCATGTGACATCGGAAAGGGGTGGTGGGATGGAGCATCCAACAGAGCATAAATCCAGCTTTAGCCTCAATCTTTTAGCGTTATATCATGGATGTAACCATCATGTCTGTATTAAAAATCCTTTTACATCAGCTGGAAAAAATGAGATCCCGAATACAAGCAGCCGAAATGAGTTTCCTCTGTAGGGTGGCTGAGTTTAGCTTTAGAGATAATTGAGGAGCTCGGACATCCGGAGGGAGCTCAGAGGAGAGTCAAAGCTCTTTTGCGTTGAAGTGGGCCAGCTGAGGTATTTTTTTTCTGTGACGGGACCCCCTGGGTAGATCCAGAACTCACTGGGTGGATTACATGTCTCTTTGGTCTGGGAATGTCTTGGGATCATCCGAACTGGAATTGAAAAATGATGGATGGATGGATGGATGGATGGATGGATGGATGGATTTTGCATCAACATGAAGTACCAAAAAGTGCACCAGCACCACCAAACTCTCACTGTTGGACACCTGATCGTGTTCTCTACAACCAGGACTAGACCATGTGAAAAGATAATTTTATGAAGCTATTAAAATCCATCTAATTAAAACTAAAGCCATCAGTGACAAGTAACATCATTCTTTTCATTCCTTTTGTTCACCTCCCTCTGTGTAAAACGACTTTCAGAAAAAAACGGAACGGGAAATCTGCCACCGTTAATGCTGTAAAATGCATTTGTGCCACGCTCGAATGGAACAAGTTTATTCTAATATACGAGGTATTCAGTTTGCAGGGGTAAATGAAAACAGGTACTTCTGCTGCCCTCGTAAAATGGCCTAAGTGAAATTGTATTCAATAAGAACATACTGTTTAAACACACACACAGCGGGGCTGCATTTATTGTGCAGCTTTGGGCCATTACATCTTAATGCCACAACACTGCTTTCAGCTGGATGCCTGACTAATGTACAAATGTCACAGCAGCAGCGGTGTAACCGGCGGTGAGAGATTCATCCTGCAGGCTTAATTTGGTGTCTTCTGTCCCCTCTTACATCCACATGTGTGAGATTTCCCACCACAAACTGCCAAAATCTGATTGATGACCTAAATAACAATGAGATCTGTGTTGCTAACCCGAAGCAAAGACTCCACGGCTTGCACACTGTGGAACAACTTATTCCAGATTTCCAATTCTAACCCCCGATCAATCAGTCAAACACATGACTTATATGAATCTCAGTTTTGACAGATTTCCTTCCTGCCGTATTCGCACTATGGTGTGGGAAGTAAGCAGAAGACGCTCCTACACTGTCGGGGTTTAGGTATCTGACTCCCACTGGGCCTCCGATGCCAAACGTGGATGGGCTTTTGTCAGTGATTGTGAGTCATTTTGGATCAAGATGTCACCAAATGGCATTAGAGTTGTGACATGTTGGAAACTGATTCATCAAAGGCGAGAAATGCGGCATTGCCACATACCGTCACCGCTCACGTTCGTTGAAACAAACGTAAACAGGCAAGTCTGCTGGAGGCAAAGCTGCATGTTACCATGTGCGATGGGAAGTATGTTGGTTTACACTTTTAGTGCTGTAAATGAAAACAAAATTGTGCAGGCAGAAAAAAACTGTGAACAGAGTCATAGAACCAGTCGTGTTGGTTGTAGCAAACAAATGCAGATATCGATGCTTTATTAGCAGAAAATGATCCCTATTGTTTGTCTGCACCATCTG